TTTGTGAAAAATAATTCCTCGGGATCTTTTAAAAACCCAAGAGGTTGTTTCACAAATGTATCTCATTTCATGAGGTATCTCAAGAATCCTCAAAGAAATATTCAGTTTCAAAATAAAATAGATTAAACATAATTCAAAAATAGTAGCCAAAAATGATGTAAGTCCTTGCTCAATTCGTTTGATCGTTGTATTACCATTAATCACTGGTCTATATTATGTTATTTTCTATAGTGCATAATGCATTTATTTTTTTCTTGTGTTGTAAAAAAACAAACAAGCAAAGGGACATGTACCTGTAAGAGTCACAGTTTGAGAAACTGTTTATTTATTCTCTTTAGCTTGCAGCAAACAGAATATTTAAAAATGGTTAAAGGAATAATTTGATGTTTTTGGAAATATTGCATCAGCACAAAAACTCTGAAGTGAACTTCCTGAAAGTGTTTTCCACAGTCCATAATCTCAGTAATGTTTTGTTTGACTGCAGGTGGCTGAGATGTACTCGAAGGTGTGTAAACCAGGAAAGAAGAAGCGAGCTGTACCCGGGTCTCCCCCAGCCAATCCTGGCTTCCGGACCTTGGGTCGCGGTGACCGGGACCGAGACCGGGACGGGGGGTTTAGTGTCGTGGTCAAACCCCAGACGTGGGCCCTTCAGGAGGGCAAAGCCATTGGAGGGCCCCTCGACGACCACTGCTACGAGTCCATCGGGACAGAGGAGTGCGATCTGGCCTATGAGAACATGGAAGGTGGAGGCGCCTGGAAGAGAGAGAGGCCCCCCAACACGTGTGCCACCCTGCGGCCGAGGAGGAAGAAAGCCCAGCAGCCCTTGCAGCAGCAGCAGCCCCCTCCGCCGCCGCCCACGCAGCAGACCCCCAAGTTACAGCACCTGCCCGCTAAAGCCCTGCTGCTGCCGGGGGAGAACCTGTACGAGAGCATCGGTGACCTGAAGCAGGGCTCCGCCACCTCCAGCACCACCACCATCTTCACTTTCAACGACGGCATGGAGATGTATGTGACGGGGCTCTGAGGCGGCGGCTGCACTGTGACTCCCTAACCTTCGAACACAAGGAGCTGAGCTAACGCCCCGAGGAGTGATGGCTGAGCCCCTGTCATGCTCACCTGCACATACTGTTTACATTCAAGTCATAACAAAATGCCTCTCACAGGCTCATCAGGCCTTGGGGCAATAATGTTAATCTGTTATGACCTGGGCTGAACACAAAGTCCAATCTATAAACCTTAAAAGGAATCCAAAGGTAGTGAATATTAAATGAGCACAAGACCATTGCAGAGTGATCTGTAGGTAACAGTAGCACTTCTATTTTACTGATACATATGTGCAAAGCACAATAAAGTAAACAAGCCTAAATTCTTCCTCAATTCTAGCGGGTAAAAAAAAAAAGGTCCTAGCAGGACTCCTATAGGGGCAAGAGGCACTGCATTGTGTGAAGTATTTTGGTAGCACTTATCATGAACAGGCCTTCCCTGTAGTTGGTCAAGATGTGATTCAGGGCGGAATTTAAATTATATAAAGGAATGAATTACTAATCAAAATACTTGAAAGCTCAGGGACCAAGAGAAACAATTATGAGAGCATTATAATAAAAATTGCACACATTTTGCATTCTTCCTAAAAGCTTCGACTAATTTTAGAGCATCATCGTGTTTAAAAACCGACCGGATATTTCACTCGTTTTGTTTCATCCTACATGGACTGAACACTGTCTCCACTGCCGTCTGTAAATTAAGTGTTTTACTTTGTTGATCCTGTTTCTGCACTTTGCCTGCTACAAGTTGCATGCTAAAAAAAGTGAGAAAAAAAAAAATCAAACTTAAAACTAAAAACAAACAAAAAAATCAAGCACTGTCATGTGGTACCTCTATATGAATGTTATTTTTTCTATCGTCGTTGGTTGTTTATTTTTTAGTGCGTTGCTTTATTTCTCTGTAGAGCACAAAGCCAGTGGGATCGAGGATGTGTTTGGCTCAGTGGGACTCTTTGCAGCAGAGAGGAGAGTTAATTTTCCTCTCGCCACACACACGGTACGGATGAAACAAGACTAAAGAGAGCTGCTCGAGTCCTAAAGGTGGAGACAGTTCACTGCACCGCCCGCTCACAGACCTCCCTCTCTGCTCAGTCCTCACCCACATCCGTGGACCGTTCATCTACACAGTCCCTGCCTTGTGGTCATATGAACCTGCTTGGGTTTCACCATAGTGCAGCTTGGAAAGCTACAGTAGAACTGATGTGTATTAGCCAATGTCCCATCATCACGCGATTGATGAACGCTCCGTCCTCTCTCTGTTATCAGTGTTAAAAATATTGCAAAAATTTGCAAAAATGTGAAGCAAATGGTTTCGCTAAGCAGCAGAGGACAATGACACTGACGATTTCATTTGACCAAATATCCCCAGCAAACAATGTGATAATACTGTATGTTGATGCAATGTGTATGTACATTACAAAAGAGAAAGAATAATAAATATATCATCAGTGTCAAGAAATCTATCTTTTTCTATTATGTTTAATTGTGTTTTGGAATGACTTCTCTTGTGACACAGACTGCGAAGAAAAAGAAAAAAAAAAAAACAGCTGCAATGTAAACATTTTCAGTGTATTGTTTGTTGTTTTTGAAGCCATGAAGCTACGGTGTGTTCTTGGAAAGCCCAGCTAAATTAAATGTGGCAGCTAACGTTGTGTGTTTGCTATTCAGACTACAGGGTCTTGTACTCAAAAAGCGTGTAATTAAGTGCTAAAGTGCAAAAGATTGTAATGTTTTATATCAAGATTACTATTCATGAAATGTCAGTCAAGTTTATACTTTTGTAATAAAGTGGCACTTTAAAAAAAAAAGATGTTTTATCTCATAGTGTCAGTTATTACATTTTTGAAAGACAGCAGAATCTGCTGAAACGCTGAAGACTATTCTCTAAAAGGCTAAATATCACCAAGAGTTCACTTTGCTGTCTACTACAGAAGGACCTTATTATATTCACGTCTTCAGCTCCATCAAAGGAAAGATCTTTAATCTTAATCCTAGGGTCAAATAAAGATGATGATTTCAAAATACGATTCATTTCTTACATTATATCTCAGGCTCCTTCTTTCTTTTGTTTGCAACCTTACAACCTCATTTCACATGTGCGTATGTGAACGTGAGTGTGTGTGAGCGTGAGTGTGTGTGAGTAGCCTCCCCATGGTTTTTTTTTTCCATCCGTGTGAATGTGTGTGTGCACGTGCCCATGTAGTAGGTCTGAGTAGCTGTGGGGGGGGGTGGGAGAAAAAAAAATAAAAAATAGGTCACCCCTTAAAACAAAAAGCTTGCAGTCAACATCGCAACCGTCTGCTGAATTTCCATTGGTGGGCTTGTCTCCATGGTAACAGGTTAACCTTGAGGCAGTAGTCACATGGGCGAGCGAGTCTTCTGCTGTCTTGGAGAATACAGCGTGCGTCGCATGACATCCGTGATCACAGTGTCAGCCGCTCGGTGAAGGAGCAGCCCAAAACAAACGTGCAGGGGATGCTGTAGGTGTGAAGATGATACAACGTTCACAGCTTGTGCGAGGTGTTAATCTCACGGCGAGGAGCATGAATGACCGGATGAATACATGAATGAGACTCGCCAGATTCGTTGAAGGTGTACGACAGGTGAAAAGACAGCAGGACAATACCGAGCATAAGGCCAGAAACCGGCTGGGGAATCATTATCATCACCGGCGGATCACGAGGTGTGTTCTGGTTTGGAGTGAACACAACGGCGGGGGGGGGGGGGGGGGGGGGG